GAGTTTCTAAAAACAGCCCTTGACTCCTATTTCTGGAGAAATACAATTTTTGTCTTGTTGAAATCACAGCTGCTTTGCATTTTTGTCACACAGAACTGAATATAAGACTAATTGATCCAGCATTAAGGAAATACTGATCTCATCTCATTGTAGCCTTTATTTCATTCAATTTAATGGACTTATTAAACTCTCACTACATAGAAAAAGAATATAAAGGATGTTAACCTGAGGGCCCAGAAACTTGGAGAGAAAAAAGTTCATCTTCATTTTTATAACCTGTATTGGAATTTAGCATTTCAGTAATCAATGTAGTAATAACAGTATCTGTGACTTTGTCACTAGTGGATATTTTCTTATCACATTCCATGTGTTAGAGATATTTCAAAAGATCATTTATATTTACCCCCATTTGAAATTGGGAAAGTAATTAAACCCACTGCTACATTTTATTATTTAATGCATTCATGACGATGCAGGCTAGGTTCTCTGGGAAGCAGGTTCTGAGGCAGTTCAGCATGCGAGATATTTAGGCAGTACCCTTGGGAAGGATAGCTGTGGAAGGGAGAGCAATGAAGCAGGACTGTGCAAAAGGAGAACTCAAACTGTGATGCAGGCCCAACAACAGCCTCAGTGGACCACCGGGGGATCTCTGAACCCAAAATGGACCACCAGAGTTGCCCCATGTTGAACGGTTATCTGCCCACCTGGGTCGGTCAGCCATTAGATATGGGGTTACCCTAGGCATCTTCCCTGAGGGGTCTGTGCCATAGTCACCATGTCCTTCTGTGGTAAGCAAAGGAATGCCCCTATCAAAGATGTCCATGTCCTAGTCCTTGGAACATGTGAACACGTTACCTTATATGGCAAAATGGACTCGAAGCTGTGAGGAAATTCAGAATCTTGAAATGAGGAGATGATCCTGGATTATCTGGGGGGCCCAGTGTCATCCCAAGGATTATAAGTGAAACAGGGAAGCAGGAGTGTCAGAGTCAGAGAAGATGTGACAACAGAAGCAGAGGTTGGAGGGATATGATTGTTGGCTGGGGGCCACCCACCAAGGAATGGGAAGAGCACCCAGAAACTGGGAAAGGCAAGGAAACAGACTCTGCCTCTGAGCCTCCAGGAGGACTGCAGCCCTGCTAACACCCCATGAGGTTTGCTTGATGAGACTCATTTTGGACTTCTGACCCCCAGAATGTAAAGTAATAAATTGACTTTGTTTTAAGTTACTAAGTTTGTGGTCATTTGTTACAGCAACAACAGGAAATGAATACACTTTCTCAGGCTAGGGTGGATGACCCTGTCTTTTAACAAAAGGGAATACCAAGAGGTGCCCACGTGACAAATGTATCCTCCCCGTTTTTTGGTAGCAGTCCTACTTCCTGCGGATGACTAAAGTCAGTTATTCCTGCCAGGACAGTACCGTCTGTTCCTGCCTGCTGCTCTCTGCACCCAAAGAGCTCAGGCAGCAGCCATCGCTTATAGTTCAATGAAACCCTTGCTGTGTCCCCGAGTGGAAATTTTCCCTTTGCGGGCCCAGGACCTGTAACCCTGCAGAGCCTACAGTAGTGAGGATGGGAAGCTCAGATTCCCCACTGGAGTATCTGGGAATGTTGGGAAGTGGAACCACTTCAGCTTCTTTCTACTCCTTGATTCCCAGACCCATGTATTCTTTTCCTGTTTGGACTTTTATAAATTCTATAGGTATCTGGGTCTTAGTGCCAATCCTACCTGGGACACTGCTACATAAAAAAAAATGGAAGCCCAGAGAAGTTAATGAATTTGTTGAAGATCACACAGGATGGCTAAGATTAGGACCCAATTCTTTGGAAACCTAATCCAGTTCTCGTTCCCTATGCCATTGTACCTTCTATGCTTCTTTCTGGTGGGTGTGGTCTGCCGACTTGGCCAGGAGATCCCTATGTCAGCAAGAGAGACGGGTAAAGAGGAAGGGAGAGGATGTATTTTCTTGACCTGAATTAGTGAGCCATTAGCTACCTCCATTGATTAAATTATCTGGACTGAACACTCAACTCCACATTACATGCAGTTAAATGATGGATCTGCTTAAGATTGTCTCTAGCATTCATCACCTCAATTGAATGGAGGCAAACGTGATCATGCGGTATCAGGGGACCACGGTGTTATTAGGTCCCAGTCGGTTCTCAATGATCCTATACCTTAAAGGAAAGAAAATGAGAAATTTCAATGGGAGGAGTGTTAATTTGACTGCTACAGTTTATTTTACATATAGAAATAATGTATAGCAAAAGCACTGATGGTGATGATGAAATAACTATTATTTATCATTTAATGGATGTCCACTATTTGTCAGGCACTTTACACAAGAAACTTTACACACACACACTGTGTATAAAATTTATATAAGTATATATATCTTTTATATATAGTTTAATATATAAATATATTATATAAATACATTATATATAATTTAATATATAAATATATCATATATAGTTTAACACATATATTATATAGTTTAATATAAATATATTATGTATAGTTTAATATATAATATATTCTATATATAATGATATATAAAGATTAAGCTATAGTTTTGCTGTGATAACAAACAACCCTCAAAATCACTCACACAGTAAATGTCTATTTCTTGCTTATGTTATACATGTTTATGTACTTCCTTGTGTCTATTCATTCTGGGACCTAGGCTGAAGGAGCAGCCCCATAGCACATGCCATTGTGGTGGTGGAGAGTACAAGTAAAAGTGGTAGAAACTTTCAATGCCTCTCTAAGCTTTTCACTGGACATGTCTATGTCATGCCCATTAGTTCTAGTTGCCAAAGACCATCACATGACCAGGCCAAATGTCAGCGGGAGAGTGGAGAGTGGGAGCAGTACAGATTATGGTAACAGGAAAGGACATATAATCCCCATACAGGAAAAGGAGAAAGGAAACAATTGGCAACAATAATGAACCTGCAGTCCTGCAAGACTGATATTAATCCCTCTCCCCTCTCCACTTCAGGGATGAGTAAGTAACTTTGCTAAGTATTTCCTAGAGGAGCAATTCCTTCCAGCTGGGATGACAGGGGAGGCTTTAGTAAAATTGGAGCTAGGGTTTGAAGGTTAAGTAGGATATTGGTGCTTGGAGAAAGAGCAAGGACTTTGTAAGCAGAGTGGAGGTGGGGAAGAGTTCCAAAGAGCTAAGAAGATGAGAGAGAAAACTGGAGAGGGGCTCAGGTGAGGGGGTGGGGAGGGACACAGGGTTTGAATGTTGAGGAGTATAAGGCTCAGGAGTTTAATTTCACTTAGGGGTCAGTTAGAAGCCTTTAGATATTTTTGAGCAAGACAGTGTCATGATTAAAACGATTGCTTCTGAAGATTGATCTGACGAGGGGGTTCAAGGTGGGCTGATAAGGGAGAAACAGAGAACAAGGAGACCAGTGAGGTCACTACATGTCCAGAAGCAAGGTAAGGGTCTTTAACTATAATAGGATGGTGACAGTTGGAACAACAACAAAAAGGTCACCAGAGACTCAGAACTGGTGGCTTAAGAAATTTGACCCATCTCCATCATCCACCCAGTGCTTCCAATAAACCCACATAAAGACTTTTTAATAGCTTGCTTTTTTGTATTAATCTATACATAAAATATTGATTTAAAAAAAATATGTAAGAGCTATGCAAATTCAAGCTTCAAAACAAGTTCCCATATCCCTAGGACAAGATGCCTGCCCCCAAACCCCCATACCTATAAAGCCTCCCACTGCCAGGACTTAAATTAGATGTTGGGGAGACCAAGCTAAGGTCTGTTAAAGAACAACATTCAATGGAGCAGATTTTAAAGATCCAACTGGCTTTATTGAGCAATTCACAAATCAGGCAGCATTCTATCCAGCAAGTAGAGGATAGAAGCTGTACAAAATAGAAGGTTTTTATAGGCTGAAAGTGGGCAGGACAAGAAAGTTATTACCAAAAGCAAAGAAAGGATCCTTTCAGTCAAGGGCACTTTTCTTTGGGGGAGGGGCGGAAAGGGTCTTATTAGGCAGATTACCTCACTAGAGTTGATCAGGAAATTCCTGCTTGGTGGTTTAAAATTCCACTCCTGGGAGAGGCTGAAACTGCAATTAGGTATTTAGTTTTAGTTTTGGGGAAGTAGCATAGCGCAAGCGACTCCATTTTGGGCCTGTTCTCTCTTTCTTAACAGGTCAAAGCTGGGAACTGGGTGACTAGGAGAATGAAAACTTCTGGTCAGTTTCAATGTGTTATCCAGGTGAGAATCTCCAGCCGGCTCTTAGAAATTCAGATCTCAAGTTCTACTTACAGTATAACCATGTGTCAACAAACGAGATAAAAATAACCGTATATGTGAAAATGCTTTGCAATGTGATCAGCGCCGCCATCTTAACCTTTGTCTAAGATTTTATTCTTGGTCACAGTTAGATAAATTAACAGATTCAAATGGTCCTTGTTAAAAAAAAAAAACAACACCAAAAACCCAGCACTGCTCTATCACAACTGAATTAGCCTGTTTTAAGAGGACTCGCTAAGGAAAGCATTCACCCTAATCAATAACAAAAAAAGGTGGAAAGAAAGCAGGTTGAAAGGAAGCAGACCCAGGGAAACTGATCTCCAACAAAAGGGCCATTTCCAGAGACTGAAGGGAGGGTCCAGGTGCCCGGTAGGCGATAAGCAGGCCAAAGTTGGGGTGGCCTTGAAGACTGCAGTGGACAGACTTGGGGAGCCGGTCATGTGGAAACCCCCTCAGGATCTTCTGAGATAGGACATCACTCCCGGGACAACAAGAAGGAAAGGGGCAGCAGATCTGGAAGCGGAGCACCCCAGCCTCTTCCCAACCACAGTGGGAAACCAAACCTTCCTCCCGAGGGAGGAGACCCTTTAGACGAGACAAAGGGTCCAGGAGCCAGAGGAGACCCAGAGTGCGCGTGCGCCACGGGACGCGCGTGCGCGTGGCAGTCAGTGCCGCGGCCCGTTGTGGAGGGAGGGAAGACCGGGAAGGGAAGCGCCGGGAGCAGCGAGCCAGAAGGCTGGGGACAGCGAGCCGTGGGCCGCTCGCGAGCACCTACTAGTGGCCGGAGGAGAAGACATCCGTGGAGGCCTTGCTGCCCGGCCCTCCCCAGGGGAGGCTCGCGTTCCCGCCGCTCGCGCCTGCGCCGCCCGCCGGCCTCGGGAGCGCGCCCTCTCGCTGGTGCGCGCGCTCGCAGTCTCCGTCACCCACCAGCTCCGGCACCAGCAGCAGCACCGCCGCCACCGCCCACCTTCTGCCGCCGCCACCAGACACTTTATCCTGTGCTTTCCTCTTCTGCCCTCGCCCTCTGTCGACTACCAGGTAAGTGCGAGGCTCCGAAAGGTGCCTCCTTGTCCGCCTCCTGCTCCCCCATGTCGCCGCCCCTCGTCCCCTGCCTCAGAGATGGGTTTCCTGAGGTGAGCATTGGTCGGGGGCAACGGCGGGGGCCCCTCCCTGCGCCCTCTGTGCTCTGGCGCTAGGTTTGGGGCGGCTTGGAAAGGGACCCATGCAAGAGATGCACACACGCTTGTGAGTGTCTACGTGTGTGTGTGCGTGTGCGTGCTGGGGCTCCACACGACCCGCTTCGCGCGGACCCCGGCAGAGGTTGTGCCTACAGGGTGGGGCGCGGATGGCGGTGACCTGGGGAAGGGGGGGGGCTGCTATACACTCTCAATCGCCGCCTTTTGCCGCAATGGGCGTGTGTGTAAGTGTGTGTCGGGGGGCGCCCAATGACGACCCCCGAAATTGAACCTGTGTTCCGATTTCTCTGCTTCGGTTTGTCATCAGCCCTAAGCAAGGTGTGGATTGGGTTCTAGAAAAGATGACTCCCTGCCTGGCCCTCCCTTCACCTCCTCGGCAGCAATTGCAATGGGGTTTTCGCTGCCCCTGATTTAAGGCGGTGGCCTACCCCCTCCCCGTTTTCCTCCTTCAGAAACCCGCAGGGGACATTTGGGGGCTGGGAGTGCAATCGGGGAGTTGGGGAGGGGTCCAGGCGCTGTCACTTCAGTTGCCCTTCCCCCTGCGCGCGCCTGGCACCGAGACGCGAGCAGCGCCGTGCCCGAGAGAAGGTAGTGCGCGGAGAGATGTGGAGGCTCGGAAAGACAGGGGTCACCTGGCCTTGCGATGTGGAAGGACTCGGCAGCCGCGGATCCTGACTCGCGGGCGCTTGCAGCCGCAGCCGCTCACAGATCGGCACCAGGGCTGCAGGTGCACTTTGGGGCGGTCCCCTTTCTCTGCGCTCTGCGCCGGGCGTCCGGCGTGTGCGCTCCCTGTCGGAGGCGCGGGGCTGGCGCGCAGGGCTCGCCCCTCACTGCGGCAGTGGGTGTGGACCCGGGTGGGCGAGGAAGGGGAGGGTAGGCTGTGCCTCCTCCCACTCCCACCCCCGCTTTTTTTCCCCTCCGATCGCGAGGTGCCATCTTTTTGCGGCGTGCCATGTCTTTACGGTACCACATCAAGCCGGGTGGCTGGGCTTCGAAGGGAAAGGCGGGGACTGTCTTTAAGGGGGGGAAGGGGGGGCGCCCCGTTCAGCGCTGAAATCTTGGCATTTTGCTGCTGAGGGCTTGAGCACTGGGGGCGTTCCCCCGAGATCTTCTGGTGGCTCGCTGCTTTGTTTGTAGGGTTAACGTGATCAGCGTTGCCAGCCTGGGTTTTGCCTTTTATTTTATAAGGGTGTTTAACCAAGCCCCCCGCCCCTTCTCCCGTGTTTCGCCCCTCATTTCCGAGCCCTTTGTTAGATCTCGGGGTTTGCTGGAGTTGATGAACTCGAGTCACGGCCTCCGGGGCACGCATGGAACGGGGTTGACCCCGGCCGGCTCACTCCCAGCTCCAGGCGGCGCGGCCAGGAAGCATCCGCGGGGCCGCAGGGGTGGGATTCTAGGTCTCCGCGCGCTGTGCGGGTGTCCGCGAAGGGACAATGCCCCTCCTCACACTCGAAGTATCCTGGGGCCCATGCCCCACCAGGCTGCCCACGGAGGGGCACCGGCTACCCCCGGAAGGTGGGTGGGGGCTCGCAAGCGGGGACCCTCCCCCCTTCACACCCTGTTGCTTGGCCAGGCGGGAGAAACTGAGGAGGGGGCAGGAGGTTTCTTCGGGTGCTGTCGGCCACACCCATTTTTCCAAAGCCGACTGGGAGGGGGGCGCTAGAGGAGGGTTGCCTTGGAAACAGCACGCGTCTTGAAAACGGCCTTTGGGGCGTTACCCCGCCCCTTCCGATCCGAGAATTAGAACTCCAGGGTACCAAGAGCCGCGCCCCCTCTGGGGGCTCTGTAGGGAGACCCACAAACTGGAGCTGTTGGCTCTTCCTAATTGGCTTCCCGCGGCCACGGCCACCCAGAAAGGCGTCCCTGGTGTATTATTATTGTGGCCGAATATCACTTATCACTTAAGAGCCCTAATTCACTGCCGCCCTTAAAAAAGGGAATGAGGGGCGAGAAGTGGGGTACTGATCCCGGGCGAACAAGGCCGAGCCTTGCCCTCCTGTGATGACTCCAGTCCGCGCGTTTTTCTGGTTGATTATATCGCTGAAAACTGGCGTGAGGGCGCAGTTCTGAGAGGGACGAGCATTTTAGGGGCCGAATCATCCACACGAGCCGCGCAGATTGATCTGAATATCCGGGGAATGGCTCGGCTCGGAGTCGAGAGTTTGCCCGGGCCAGGCCAAGCCTTATCGGCTGTCGGGTCGGAGACGCGGCTCTGCTATACCTCCTCCCTAACCCCTACCCCACCCTCGCCTTCGCAGAGCGGGCCGCCACGGGCAGGTTGCTGGAAAGACTCAAGGATGGATTCGAGCATCTTTTCCCCTCTAGCCACCCTCCCCTCAAGCTGCTCGTGGGATTCTGGTTCCAGACAGAGCGAGGGGCTTGGGGCGGCCTTGGGAACCGGGAGCCTGGGGCGGGCCGCAGGCAGATGTCACCTCCTCTCGCTTGGGGGAAAGGGAACCCTGCGGGAGCGAGCGCATTTAGCCCATTGCCTGGAACAAAGCGCATTCCACGCGTTGGTGATTTCGCTCCATTTTGGGATCAGTTGGTGGCTTGGTCGGGTGCTCGGGTTTGCAAGGCCTGGGGGCTGTTAATAGAGGAATCCCGGGAGCCAGTGAATGGTCCTTCATACTCGATCAGGAAATTCCATCCCTGGCTCTGCGCGTGCTTTAACTGAACGACTTTCCCCCAGAATGTGGAGGGATGCAGGGTTTTGTGCCCACGCTCCGACTGTGGAGAGCTGAGCCAGCGGGAAACGTCCTGTCTCGGAATCCCCAGCAGGCGGCGGCTCTTTTACATCCCGGGAGACCCCACTTGGCCTCTGGAGCTCAGGAACCTCTAACTCCAAGCCCGGGGCTTGGGCTGGTGCGAGTTGAGATGGATGATGGCATCTGAGACAGCGACTGCCAGGCCTATCCCTCCAGGCCAACGTGCGCGTTCAGGCTCAACAGGACCGCTTTGAGTTTTGTCTGACCCCTGTCCCTCCAGCTGACCCGTCCCTACAACAGAAAGAGAAATACCTTTCCTATCATAATTAATTAATGTATTATTTCTCGTTTTATGATGCTGCTTATGTTTACCACCTAAGAATTGTTCATCCATTTCCCCATCTCCAAACCCTTACTCTGAATGAGTAAGTAAATTAAACGCCTCCCCACGCTACCCCAGCGCCCAGTCCGCAGTGAATCTTGAAGCCAATCAATTCCTTGACCCACATTTGCTTCTGGAACAGGTTGTGTTTACTGCAATAACCTGGCTTGACTCTTTGGGCTCCGCCTTTGGACAATTTAGGGGAGGGGTCTGTTGGCTTTGCTGTTTTTTGGATGAGTGGCAGTCCATGACTATGTGTCCCTAACCCCGAAACGGACCTGGTCTGCACACGCCCATCATGGAAAGGCACAGCTTTTAAGTGTTTTCTAGTATTAGGAACAGCTCCTGACAGAAACAAAAGAAATGGGTTATTCCCACAAATTGCAAGGAGAAAACTTAGAATTGGTTTCCTTGAGGAAGGGTCAGGTTTATTCCACTTGGAAAAGAGCTCCTTTATTGAACATGCCCTTTGCCCCACATGCCCTTTGAGGTCAGTGCCAACCTGGAGATGTAACAGGATTGTGGTGCCCTTTGTTTAGGCTGAATTTTCCTTCCACCCTTTTAGCATCAGGTCATGAAGCCCATTTGTTGGAAATTTTAAGAAATTGTGTTTCAATCCACCTTCCTTCAGCATTCACGTATACAGTTTGAGTGGCTCTGTAGCTGTGTGTATGAACAGGTGTTAATTTTCTAATTGAACACTAGATTGCGCCTTCTATTTATTTAATTAGTATCTCCCCTACTCCCACTTTGAAAAAAAATCACTCAAAAACAAAAACACCCTAGGGGCTTAATACAGTGCTAGACATACAATAGGTATTTTGACCTATACTCATTTAACAAACAAATGGATAAAATAAGAAAATGCAGGTCAAAAGGTAGAGAAGAAAAAGCAGAATGGGAGGATGGCTTTATTCAAGGTCATGGTATCAGGAAGGTTTGGGGACAAATCCAATTCAGTTTGTCCCTCATTCTGTTATCCAGATGACAGTCCGAAAGTTGCCTGTGCCCTCAATGCACCTCCATGTCCTCCCTGCCCTGCTCCCATGCCTTCAGCTTTCTCACTGCAGCACCCCTCACTTATGAGCCGACAATCTGGTCCCCTCTTCTCACCTCATCCTTCTTGGCAGAAGGGTGCAGAAGAGAGGGAAGGGGAGAGACCATACTTCACCCCAGGGGGAGGAAGACCCTGCTAAGGGGTCTTGGGGCTGCAAGTGCTCCTCGAGCCAGGAGGTCAGAGGGATGGAGGCAGGAAATCCCATTTGCCTCTGTTCCTTCCTCTTCCTCCCACCCTGCTTTTTTCATCATCCCACTTCAGAGACCCCTAGCCCCTCCCAGAAATGCCCACCTGACCGATGACTCCTATTTGCCACCCGAGGTGCTTCCACTAGTGACTTTGAGCTGGTAGGAAGAGGGTGCACCTCAGCAGGTAGGAGCCCAGCCTCACCAGCTGGACTGCAGCAGGGAGAGGAACCATGTTCCAGCTGGGACTCTCAGGTGTTTTCCTGTAAAACAGTGAGATGTCTAGAGACATTTTTTTATTTTCACAACTGGGGGAGGGTGCTACTGGCATCTAGTGGGTAGAGGCCAGGGATGCTGCTGAACATCTTACAAGGCACAGGACAGTCCCCCATATCAAAAAATGATGGCCCCCAAATATCACTAGTGCCAGAGTTGAGAAGCCGTGCTATAGAAGCATTGTTACCTTGGCACTGTTACCTTAATGGTGGCTTTCATTTCTTGAGTATCTTCTAG